CTCAGCTGAGTTTTCTTACGTATCAAAAGAGAGCTTTTTAAAAAAGGCTTTGAGGAAGAATGAGACCATTTTAGTTAGCCAGCTACAGCTGATGAATTAAATTAGCACCAGATAACAAAACATGACATGTTTGGGGAAAAGGTTATTTTTTGCTTTAGCACATTACACTGACACCTGCTTTCTCAACACATAAGCCACTTATTATTCCAGCAGCAGTATCTCACTCTGTGGCAAACGTTTCATCATTTCTATTCTTTTGGGGAAGCCAGATCCACAACTCAAAACTGTCTCCGTCCAAGTTCAATTAACAGAGTGCTTCATCCTACATGCTACATGCGCAGGAGTTTAATCACTAGGGAACAGGATGTACTTTAATATACACCAATGTTATTGTTTTGTGGCTTCATGCATATTGAAGTATACCTTTTATTATGTACTGATTTTGCATTATTAAGTATTTTGCAAATAAACACAGGAATGCATGCACAAGTCACTTCCTAGGTCTCCAGCAAGGAGAAGACCAGCATGCCACTGCTGGACCTAGAAAGTGAGCCACAGAAGGTGCACCGTTCTCCCCTACCACCACCTTGTCTCAAAGCAAAATCCTGGTATCCTTGTCATAGGGTTAAATTCCTTCTCATTTCCATCTCTCATTGTCTGGACCAAGACACCACCACTCCACCCAAGTTACCCAGTTCTGCATTTGATTTTGTACATGCCCAAATTCCACTGTCCCTTTTCATATCACATGCACAGAAGCTGGCAGAGGAGAAGCTCACCGACTCACCTTCTAGCTTTATTTTCTCCAAAATGCTGTCATTTGATTTGTGCACATTAGAGAGGAAGAAAAACAGAAGGCTAAAGCACCTGCAAAGCAGAACTTAAACCAAATCTCATTGATTTTTCTTTGTTTAAATTGTTTTGCCTTTAAATGAACCCTTTGATCTACCTCCTGCCTGGGTACTGATCACCTCCTGATCAGTAACTGAACCTCGCTGGCAGATGTGCAGTACTGAGGCACACAGCTCACCCCTGCAGCACGCTTACATACCAAGGGCGAATTGCTGCTCAACTACTGTGCAAGAGACAGAAAACCTACAATGGTTCCTAACAGGAGGAAATCAGACATACTACTAACTGCAGCAAAATTAATTCAAAGTTCTTAAGAAAAATACTTCCAAGCTTAAAAACAAAGATTTCATGCTAAACACCAGGGACGTCCGTTGCATTCATTAATGGTGACAATTTCTTTTGTGTAGATGTACCGTGAAACCTACAGTACAAAAACAGGAGGGATGCAACCTCGCAGGGATGCTGGGATGCTCTCGCCCCCAGTCAGTCCAGCAGCACTTACAGGCTTGGAGATTTCATTTCTCCAGATGACTTTCTGCCTGGGCTTGGGCTGGACAACGGCACAGAGAGATCACAAGCAGATATCAGCACACAGCTTCAGAGGCGGACACGATGTGGGTGCTGCACGAGCTTGGAATGGGGCCAGACCTGCCCTGGGACTGTCAGCCCCTGGCCAAGCCGATGAACCTCTAATAACAGTGATTACAGGCATAAAACTACATCTATCAAAATTGTCCGTTTCAGCTTTTTTTTCCAAAGCAGGTACTCTGAAATTGCAAAACTTGACATATTTGCTGTTGCAGCAGTGAAACACTAATGACTTGAAATTATGCTTCAGCCTGAAGCTGTTTTGGATTTTTACTCAACAGAGCAAGAAACAACATCATTTTAGCGTTTCCTGTTTTTCAGTTTTCATAGCTTTAGTTTTCTAGACTCCAGGCTGATACCACTCTTCTTTTCAAAGAAGGAAACCCATTTAAAACACTTTTCTTTTTCATGAAACGTTACCTAAAGTATTTTAGCCTGCTGCACTTAGAGCACGTAAGATAGGAAACCATATGGCAGTTTCAGCTGGCACACGGTGGAAGACTATGGGATGGGCATTTCTCTCGTCTAATCCAGAAGCTCTTAGATGCAGATCACAGTATTTCGGAACTTATTTTTGCTTCTGGTGTCATGCCCCTGGATAAGTAACAGAAGAACCACTGCTACAATGAAAACTTGTCTTTTCTGCTTGAGGGCGAACTTTGGCAGCTTGCAGTACGGAGCAGGGAAGCACAGGAACTTACACCCGGAATTTTAAAGAGGTTCCTTTTGTATGTAATGAAATTCTGTGCACATCTGTACAGCTTTTCTGAGGCGGAGGCATGTTTATTCTGCCTACGCTCTACAGCAGAAGCAATGTATCTGTAGTGCCGACCCAGCCCAAGCCACTACGCTGTCAGAAGGAGCAGAACTTTCTTGTTTGTACCGTGCTACCGCAGCTATTTGTTTGGTATTCACTGACTGATTCGCTCTTTCTACAAGTGGTGATGGGATTCACGGTCTTCAACAACTATTGCATACATGTATTTCAGGCCAATTTGTAAGTAGCCTTTAGTTACACAAGCAAGAGGGCACTTTCAATCATCAGTTCCACGGTCTCAGAAAACCACGCAGCATTACAACAAAGCAAGCCTGGAGAGCAAGGGGCAAAGACCAACACAATGTCCTTTTTACATTAAATTCAGCTACTCTTAAGGGTCTCGGCCAGGAAGATAAAACCAACGCTTGATTTTCAGAGTCTTCTATCCAAGTCACATTATGAATTCCAAGTTGTAATAGACTCACATTCCCCTTACGGCTTACTCTGTCTGACAAATCATGTTTTCACATGTCACTTCCCAGATTTAAAGGATATCATTACCCGATTCAGCTTTTGTCTTTCAGGGCACTAACTTTTAGAGTTATCTTACTTTATCTGTAAGTCCTATCAGTCCATTTTATTAAGCTATGGCATCTCACCACATACCCAGATGGACAACGTTAGGGACTAAGCCCTATTTATTCACTGCTCTAAACAGAATTCCTGGATCTATAATATGAATCATTAGTTGTCATGTGGCCTTGTCTGTTCATGTTTTCACATGCAGATACTTTTTACATAAGAAAGACTGAACGTACAGAAGATCTTGCTTGGCATAAGCTGATTCCAGCCGTATACCAACCCCCAAACAACACCTACCCCTCCAACCTATCCTGTGATGAATTCACACAGTATTTCACTTATACCGGGGCATCCCCTGCGTGATTTGAAAGTGTCACTTTTGAATTCAAGAGCTTACAAACAATGTTTCCATACTTTGTCTGCTCAGCAGGCAAAAAAAAAAAAAGGATGAAAAATCCAGACATAATGGCAATCCAGAATGTCAAAAACCAACCCATTTTTCACTTCTTTAAGCCATTTAGGATTCAGCCATCTGAATCTTCCTGGAGCTAAGTGAAACTTTTTGGCCAGATCGCTCTGACTGTCCTACGACTGAAAGGGTACACCTACAAAATGACAAGGTCACCTTGGATAGCTCTAAAGATAAACAGCCCCATGAAAGCACAAGCAGATTATTATTATTAGAATCAATTTGTCCACCACAATTCGAGCATTCTTGCAAACATATTTTTTTCATGATCATGTGCACTCACTATGTTCAATGTAACCCGCCGTAAGACCACTTCCTCGTTGATTTTCCTTCATGTTTATTCCCAGGCAGCGCCAGCTGCAGAAGACAGCTGCCTGCTTCTCCCACTGAACTGCAGCAAAAGTGGATTTTCTGCAGCCCGACCACTTCTTGTAAGCACAGAAGGACATGATTTTCTGCAGCAGCGTTGTTACCAACCAGGCTAGGATAAAAATTGCTTCCAATGCCACTGCCACTGAACTTCCACTGAATTATCATTATACTGGAATAATGGGATATGCCAAGTTCTAATTCAATAACAGAAAATTAAAAGCACAGGCTATTTAAAATGTAGCCACAGACATGAACTGTTTACAGTCCAACCACGTATAATTTAGAGGTAACATAAACCAGCCAAGTGCTAAGAAGAAATCTGAGAAGGTGCTTCATACCCTCCATGCTTCCCCCACATACCCAAATCTTGTATGTGTGGGCTAACAACCTAAAAAAAATCGTCCGAAAGACATCAGACCACCACCTGAACGATGCTGTACCTGCAAGATATACAAGGAAGATACACGCACATTCCTCTTCTCCTTTTAAGTCCCAAAGCACAGATGATTATAACACATTCCACCATTTCCAGTAGCGCACAGGTAGGCAGTCGCTTTACACCTCAGAACAGTTTTGTTCCACACAGACTATTCGATAACCGTTTGCCAATTTACACAATCCATGGATCTGGCCCCAGAGAGTTAACGCTTAGCTTACCTTATCAAGTGACTCATTTTATCAAGTTCAAGATAACTACCCATGAGAATAAGATTTGCTGCTGTGAATAGATGTTTAGTGATAGGGGTCTATTAAGGTATTAGGAAAATTCCCTATAGAGGAATAATCAGTGGAAAAAGTTTACCAAGTAAAATCGTTAGGAACACTTTCTTAAAGCAAGTGAGGACCTTTTTCATACATTTATGGAAGTGGCTGCATTTAAGCCAAGTTCACTGTCAATCCCTATTAATTTTCATCACCTAGTTAAATGAGCATTTTATTGAACTACAGTATATAAAGTTATTTTACAAAATCAGTAACAAAAACAGCATTAGTCATGTACCAGCCTTTATGCTCACGTTCAATAAAAAGTTGTTAGTTGTCAGAAATCTAGGGGGCATCTCAATGAGAAGACATGGTCACTAGCTTTTTAAGATCATATTTGAAAAAAAACCCATAGAAAGAAATAGCCCCCCCCCAAAAAAAAAAAAAGAGAAAAAGCCATCCAAAGCCTTCAGGGAAGAGAAGGCCCAAGCCCAGAAGTGCGATGCTCTTGCCTGCCCCGGGACAGCCGGGGAGCCGCTCGCCGCCTGGCCACCTCTCCTCCCACACGGAACCACAGGGTGACACAGACCGATGCCCACGGGTGACGCTGGTTAAGGAAAAAGCCGATTCTTGCCCTTTTCTCTCTGGGGCAAGGGCAGGAAGGAGGAAGGCTGTTACCCAGCAGGAGGAAGGAGAAGATCCACTGCAGCACGGCGACTGTCTGGATCCTTCTCTTTAGGGGGACGTTGATGGGGGCAAACTCGACCTTCATGCTGA